TACAGAAATCATTTCTTCAACTCTCTTTAGAATTATAACTTATTTTAGGGGCACGTGGTTGGCTCAGTTAGTTAGCGTGTGACTTCGTCTCAGGTCATGATCTCACGGTTTGTGAGTTCGAGCCCCCAATAGGGCTCTCTGTTGTCAGCATGGAGCCCACTCCGGACCCCTCTGTGCCCCTTTCTGTCTGGCCCTCCCCTGCTTGTGCCTCTCTCTCTCAAAAATAAATAACATTAAAAAAAGTATAACATTTCATTTCATGGAATTTTTCACTTCTGTCATTCTGCACAATCTGAGCTATCTTGTGTTAACATGTTTCCACAGGTGAAAAAGGAACGATTGGCATGATGGGCTATCCGGGACACATTGGTCCTCCGGGGCCTCCCGGAAACCCAGGAACCCCAGGACAGAGGGGTAAGTGATGGAGTATATTCCCAAGAACAGGAGGAAGGAGCAATGTTCACTTACATAACGGAAAAATAAATTACGTTTTACCCTTTGAGGGCAATATAATTCTGAGAGAACCACGTATTCGATTTTGCTATTCTTTGTATTCCTTTTTCCATTTGAATGGAGTCGAATTTTCTCCTTGCAATCTTATGCCACTGCTTTTAAATGACTGCCTGTTTTGGTTTATCTGTCTTGTTTTGTTTTGTTTTATGGTAAGCACTGTTAACTTTCGAATCCTTACAAACAAGTTCAAGAAGTAAGGAACTGACATTGTTACTCCTGTTTTTTAGGTGACTTTGGAATCCCAGGAGCAAAGGGTGAGAAAGGGCACCCAGGAGCCCAGGGTGAAGAAGGAGACAAAGGACCCCAGGGGCCTTCTGGAATATCCCACCTACTGGGGGACAAAGGAGAACCAGGCCTCAAAGGTACAGCCTTCCTTTTGTGTAGAACCAGAACATCACGCTGGTTCTGAGACTAAGAATGATCCAAGAAAATCCCTGTAGTTGACAAATGAAGACCGTGAGAACCAATACTCAACATCCTGCTCAGTCACAAAGCCAGTTGGTGGCCCAATCCTGGATTAGAACTGGGTCTTGGCATTCCTTGCACAATTACGTGTTGTCTCCTTAATGTGTGACTTTTCACTTCTTTTTAAAAACTTTTTTAATGTTTATTTTTGAGAGAGACAGACACAGAGTGGGAGTGGGAGAGGGGCAAGAGAGGAAGGGAGACACAGAATCCGAAACAGGCTCCAGGCTGTGAGCTGTCAGCACAGAGCCTGATGCCGGGCTCAAACTCACGGACCATGAGATCATGACCCGAGCCAAAGTCAGACACTTAACCAACTGAGCCACCCAGGCGCCCATGACTTTTTATTTCTAAGTTAATTCTACATTTGGGTCTGCTGTATTTAAACTGCCCCTAGTCAATTTTAAATCATAAGCCTCAAAACCACCTTTTTGCCAAGAATGGTAAAAAGTAATCTTAGATTGGCATACAAAGTTTCTTTATCACTTGCCCTTTGCGTACCTCGCCAGCCACATGACAGATAATTTTTCAACAATTATTTTTTAGGACCTATTGACTAGGTATTTTATTATGTCCTAAAGACATAGAGGTGAGCAAAGCAGAGGTAGTGCCCTGGTCATGAGGAAACTCACAGTTCAGTGGGGGAAAAGGGGGGAAGAGACATCAATGGATCTGTAGACAGTTTACGTATAGGGCCAGGCAGTAAACATCTCAGGGGTTCTGGCCCCAGATATGGTCCCTATTGCATAGTCATTTTTAGAGTTTAGTGTAAAAATGTAAAAAAAAACATTTTTAGCCCTCCAGCCATACCACACCAAACCAGATTTGGCCTGCTAACCCCCTGCAAGCCCAAAGCAGGAACATGCTAAATAATATATATTTTTAGATTGTAATAAATGACATCGATAGAAAAAAAATGTTACAAAAGAAAATAATCTAACCCCCTGCTCCTCGTCATTCCTTTGTATGTGCTATTTTCTTGCCTGGGCATCTTGTCCTGTTTCATGGTTTTTCCACCCAACTGGCGCCTCTTCAGTCTTTAACACACACACACACACACACACACACACACACACACACACACACACAGTCCCCTCTTACAGAAATTCTTCCCTGTAGCATATTGTACCCAGCTCTGTTACAGAACTTATCACACTGGGTGGTAATTGTGTGTTTACCTGGCTGACTCCCCAATTAAACACTAAAAGCTTGGGAAAAGGGAACATGATTTATGTTTCCAGTGCTTGGCACAACACCTGTCTGTTAATTAGATACTCAGCGCTTATGTGACTGAATAAGGATATAGGCAGGACAACTGCCCAAGGAAGGGAATCTTGAGAAAGGGCACAAAGCCGGGCCACAGACATGTCAGAAAGTGCTTCGGATGCCATGGAAGGAGTTTGTAATTTGCCCCGCATCAAAGGTATCACAGATTAGGGGCGCCTGGGTGGCGCAGTCGGTTAAGCGTCCAACTTCAGCCAGGTCACGATCTCGCGGTCCGTGAGTTCGAGC